TTGAATAGTAGAATATGTAAGAATTAGTCAAAATTGTTGTTTAAACAAATGTTGACATTCTTGTCACGATAAACAATGCCATGTTTGTGCACGCCACTTTTTAGTAGAATTTTTGTGACACATGGGCAAGAAAGCTATCGAAAGTCATGGACTAGAGTGTGCTTTTGGCATTTTCACTAAAATGGTTAGTTTGTGAAGAAAGACAAGTTCGATGGTTGAAGAACACCATTGTTGTAATGTGAACTGGAATAGAATTCACCATTCCACCTCGGAAAAATGGAGACTTGTTAACTTTTTAAACGAGGATGTTTGATTTGAGAACAAGTAATCATCCTACGAGTGCAGTGTTTTTTCAGGCATTTTGAAATATCTATGGTTTGTTTCGCAACAAATTAGGGTACTACTGTTATAACTCAAAACACAATTAATCCAAGGGTTCATCACCACAAAATGAAAACACGAACCTGTTTCAGGAATTCATCATCTGTTTTCATGAATGCAGCTTTAACAACTTCTTCTGTTGTTGTATTCCCCGAGGATTTTTCTAACATCTCGAATATATTCGAGTGTAGGTTCTCCGCTACAAAATCCGCAGCCTTCCTGCCTCCATGTCCATCATAAACCCCGAAGAAACCCTAGTTTCACAACAACAAAAGCAAGTAAACGAACATCAAAAATCGATCTCGATTCTCTAACTACTCTTTTACATACATCAAAATCTCAGCAGCAAATCAATACACGAACTAATTTACATGAATAATTTCACCAACAAAACTCTAAATTCGTTAGGAACTTTCGATGTACCTTGTCAGTGTTCGAAGAAGAAACAATCGTATGAGTATCTTCCATGAATAATTTCCTGCCTTTGACGGAGCAAACACCGACGCCGAATCCACTAGACGAAAACACGTCAGATCTGGATTCACAACTCTTCGGTCTGAATTTTTCAGCAGCGGATTCAATTACTTGAAGTACATTAGGGATCTCAATCATCGGCGGACGTTTTCGCTTTTTCAGAGAAGTCAAGACGGAAAAAGGCTCCAGCGACTTGACGTTGACATGTCCGTCGTTCATATTGCACAACCTTACAATGCTCGGAGGCATCGTTGATTTGCTCACTGGTGGTCGGAGGTAGAATCTCCGACGATAAACATGTTACCTCCGAAGGGCGGGAGTGGGAGGTTAAAGCAGAGAAGAGAAGGATGAGTTGTAACGGGCCTAACGGCTACTTCAAGGTGGATACCACCTACCCTAGTAAATACGACTTTAGCTTTTGTTGTTTTATTTATATTGAAATGACCATAAGGCCCCTTATATTTATTAATTTATAATATTACATTTTTGACAATTTTGGTATCGTCTTTGTTTTTGTTTAATAGTTTATATTCTAAATATTATAAAAATAAGACAAAAAATGGTATTTGTCAAACATATGTTTTTATGGTTTACAAAAGGACATGAAACTATGAAAGACCTTGTGTGGTTGTCTTGATGACTTTCAAGGATTATTTTTGCTTATTTGATTTCACCGTTTTACCTGTAATACATGTGAAAATGACAAACATTTAAATAAAGGTCCATAAAAAAGTCAAATACATGTAAATTTAAAGTAAAAAACATATATATATATATATATACCGTTAATTCTCAAGTTAAGTGGCTTAGTGCAATGTTAAAAATGATATCTTGTTTCTCTGCTATGTGAACCTGTAAAATGGTATAATTTATGATTTTTTTTTAATAGATTAAGTGCAACAAATGGATAATAAGTATTGTCTTATTTTTTTTTATAATGGTAAAATGACTTGAATATATATATTTTTATCTTTATTATTTATTAAAAATAAAATCAAGTTCAAATTTTCAAAATTGGCTGGTGGTGCCCGTTCTCTCTTTTACCCTTGGTGCATCAATGCTTTGAATAGTAGGATAAAGACTTTGTACTCTAGCCAATTATGACGAGAAAATGAAAGTAATGTTTATTGTTCAATATGAAAATAGGGTCTTTGGTTGATGAATGGGAAATGTCAAAAGCGCAATATAAAGGATAAAATAAGGACAATTTTGTCATTTACCAATTCCTTGTGGTACTGGGGAATTTAAGAGTGGAGCCGGTCAGAGGTGTAAGTATGGTCAAAGATCGGCCGAGCCGTTTGAATTTAAAAAAAGAAAGTCTAAACCATTGACCAGGTTTAAAAAGTCTAAAGCTGCTTGTTTTGGAGTGAACTACTCATCTACCGCATCGGCAAATTATATAGAAAGTTGTCATTGTTTATGAATTTTTAGTTACATGGCAAACAATTATTTATCATGTTACTGATAATTTAATTATAATCATGCTGTTAAAAAATAATTTGAACATATAAGGAATTAAGGATATAATAAAGAAAAAAGAAAATGTGATAATATAATCATAGGTAATTTATTGTTTGATAAAATATGTATGATACAAACAGTTTTTATTGTATTGTTATCTTTTTTTTTTTTGAACGGTGAATGTAGCAAACACTAGCTTCTTTATAAATTACAAGTATTTAACGGAGAAATACACAAATTAAACCAACATAGAGAAGTATAATTAGAACGAAACTTAATCCGCCATAAGTTGAATGTCATCCGTCGTCTTTAAAGGAGAGCATCTATTTTTATTGAACACCAATGGGTTTTAAGCTTTCCAAATACGGAAAATAACAGAGTAAACCAAGGCTAAGTGTAGTTTACGTCTCTTCCTCCCATGCATCGAATCACCTAAAGCATTTATGACATCATCTCTATTGAAAGGAGGCAACAAAAGAAAACTAGTCCAAGAACCAAACCATCTTCAAATACAACCAGAAAAATGGCAATTGAAAAAAGGAGTTAGGTCATTTTTAGTCATTTAACTTTTGGTTTTGTGCTAATTCGGTCGCTTAACTATTTTTAAGTTTTAAAAGGTCATCAAACTTTTGGCTTTGTGCTTACCTAGTCACTTAACTTTTGATTTGGTCACTTAACTTTTAGATTTGTACTCATTTAGTCACCTAACTTTTAAAATTGTGTTCATTTAATCACTAAACTTTTTAATTTTTTAAAAGTTTAGTTACTAAATGAGAACAATTTTAAAAGTTAAATGAACACAAATCCAAAAGTTAAGTGACCAAAGAAAACGTAAGTGACTAAACGATTACAAAACCAAAAGTTTGATGACTTTTTAAAATTTAAAAAGAGTTAAATGACCAAATGAGCATAAAACCAAAAGTGAAATGACCAAAAAATGATCTAAACCCTTCAAAAAAACGTGATAAACTTCTTACTCCACGAAATTATAAAAAGGGATAGAGATGAAGATAGAGTAATGCCCCTAACCGAGAGATTACTCGCCACTAGAACTCAGTTTAAAAACAAACTTCAAGCAAAACAATTTGTTTTCAAAGACACCTAACTAATCCATTTGAAGGTCTTCAAATTAGTATTATTCGACACCTTATCAGCCAAAAAACATCTGAAAGATTGTACCGAAAATAAACCTGATACCTCTCCTCTCCATTTTCGCCCCACATCATCCAAAACAGTTGAAATGTTCACTATAACAGTAGCTTCACGGCCTCTTCTAGGTTGTCTTCGCCATATTCAATTCCAATCAGTCCCTTCCTCTCCGACAAACCTGTAAAAGGGGCCAATTTTTTGTTTGATTCAATTTTATAAAGCTTGGGAAACACCGCTTTAAGTGGTAAATCACAACTCAATATGAAGTTATATCACAGTACACTAAAATAAATAAATATTACTTATTAATAAAGAACAGAGTTTGTTTATTAACGAAATAAAATAATTTTGTTTACGACTGGTCCCTATGATTTGGAGTAATTTGCGTATTTGGTTTCTAACTTATTTTTTTAACTCGAAAGGTCCATACTGTTTGTTTTTTATTGCGCTTGGTCCATATCTTACCTAAAAATACTATTTTGCCCTTAATTTTTTAAATTTATTTAAATAAACACACTCCTAACCCCACCCCCACCTCACTTATCTTACCTAAAAAGAATATTTTATTTTATTTAAATAAGGGCATAATAGTCATTTTAATTAAGACAGTAACTAAGCGTGTAACAAAAACAAACAGTTGGGACCTTCTGAGTTAAAAAAATAAGTTAGGGAGCAAACGTGCAATTACCCCAAACTATAGAGACCATTCGTGTAATTTACTCTTTTATTTAATAGTCAAATTTAATTGTAAGCAATCTTTTACAAACCGGTTTTTTAGTTGAACCGGTATGGTGACCGGTTCCCGGTTTAACCGGTTTGACCGTCGGGTAAACCGGTTTCTATAATTTTCATTTTTGTTTCTATTTTCCTACGCATACATAATATATAAATCATGATTTGATGTTTACAAGTTCAAACATTAAAAATATACATAAAATTAAGTTGTGAATCAATCCAAATACATTAAAATAACACATAACCAGAAGTTTTAATGTTTTATATCAATCTATATACGTCAAAAAGAAAATAAAGTATAATACCGATACAAAGTATAGTTTTAGATGAACACATCAAAAAACGTTATAACATACACCATATGTTTTTATTTAGAGAAAACAAAATAGATTTGAAAAAAATCACCAAAGTTTATTATGCAAATGGTTCATTTCCAGATATTTTTATTCAGTTTAACCGGTTCAACCGGATTTTTCTAAAAACTGACAGGTTCAATCCGGTTCAGAAATCAACGTAAAACCGGTGATAGTTGAACCGCTCCCTCCCCCGGTTCCCGGTCCAACCGTTTCGACCGGCCGGTTCAAACCGATTTTTAAAACATTGATTGTAAGTAATTAACTAAATGGATCTTGTTATAAAAACGATATGCTATGAAAAAGTTTTAGAAAATACATAGTTTTAAGTATAAAAATTTAAAATAATGGCATCTTTTACATTTGTAAGTCGTAACTAATCATTTAAGACCATCTCCAACTCACTTCCATTTTCGGCCTAAAAATGGAGAAAAAAATGGGGTAAATAGTGTTTCATCTCCAACCCTACTCCATTTTTTACATCATTTTTATCCCCCAAAAGTATATTTCATTCTTTTAACTTATATAATTTGTCAAATACACCCCTTTTATTAATTTGGTTTTAACAAATATATAGTCTATAACTTTTTCATTACAATAATATTAAATAAATAATATTATATTTATAATACGTAATTATAAGCTTTTGTAAAATACGTTATTATGTTTTAAAAAATTCAATATGTATTTAAATTTTAATATGAATTTGATAAACAACAAAAATTTATAGTTTTAAAATTAATTATAATTTAATATATAAACAATATTTAATTATTAAATATTACATTTAAATAAGACAAAATTACAAAAATGGTCCATGTGGTTTACAAAAAGTCACAAAGTCAGTCCCTATTAATTTTTTTTGATGCAAATGGTCCTTGTGGTTTGCGAAACTTGCAAAGTTGGCCCTTTTTACTAACACCGTTAGTAAAACGCCGTTAGGGACTAAATCTGTAAGGACATTTTTGTCTTTTCAAGTATAGAAGGACTGAATTCGTGACATTTAAGAAACCACAGTGACCATTTTTGAAATTTGTTTGAAAAAATAAATTAATTTGCTAAAGGTAGGGGGAAGGGTCGAACTCACGACCTCCACCCCCTTTATTTGACCAAAAAACATTTTTTTTACATAACTTTTTTTTATATAAAAAAAGTATTTTAGTCGTATTATAAAAAAAATTCTTTTTTACAAATAATTTGTATGTATTTTTATGTATTTATTTTACGTAAATATATTTTTTTATTTCTTTAAAAAATAAGTTTTCGTATAAAAAATATGTTTTCGTATATTATATTTTTTTTATGTCTTTAAAATAATAATAATTAACACTACTCATGACATAAAAAAATGTATAAATTATGTTGAGTCACTAGTTCTAAAACCGTTTTTTGGTTATATGTATTAAAAACAACTTAACAACGATTATGTTATGTATCTAAACAATTTATACGGTTTTTTTATGTCAAGAGTACTATTAATTATCGTTATTTTAAAAAGATATATCACTATTTCTTTTCATCATCATTTCAATCATACGATTTAGAACTTGC